TTCCTTGCTCTCCTTGTATATAATCTTACTGCGTTTCTAAATTTCTTTTTAACTTTTATATAAAGCCTATCATGCTATATGTAATCTTGTGGGATTTATTTTTTTTTTTTATTCAGTGTTGTTAAGCTTCTTCTATACTGTGTGTCCCTGTTACTCATTTGCTTTAACTGTTGTATAATATTCCGCCTGGTTGGTGGGCATTTCAGCCTTTTCTGTTCTGCTTGTATAACCCGTGCTTCTTTGAACAGCTTGTACCTATCTCTTGTGGTATATGTGTGATAAGTTATCTTTCCTGTAGACCTAGGAATAGAATTATGGGGTCAAAAGAATATCAATTTTATAATGCAAATTTTTTCTCAAAGTGCTTGTACCAGTTTTCATGCCTGCCGATAATAGTATAAGGATCCTCACTTGAGCCCAGCAGTTCAAGGCTGCAGTGAGCTATGATGGTTCTATGGTACTCTAGCCTGAGTACAGAGCAAGACCCTGTCTGAATCTCATTTATCCACATGCTCTCAATGCTTGTATTTTCAGACTTTTATGTTTACCAATCAAATGTATATAAAATGGTAACATACAGATTTTTTTTTTTCTTTTTGCTGTTTTTGGCCAGGGCTGGGTTTGAACCCGCCACCTCTGGCATATGAGGCTGGAGCCCTAATCCTTTGAGCCACAGGCACCGCCCATAACAGACAGGTTTTGACTGCCCTTTACTAATTATTGATTCACATCATTTGCCTGTGTGTGCTGGCTCCTCTATGAAGTGTCTCTGGCCTTCTCATGAGTTGCCTATGCTTTCTTATTGATTTACACGACCTCTTGATCATAAATACCCCTCTTTTGTTGATTGCGTGTTACAGATCTCTTCTCCACAGTTTATAATTAGGCATTTGAGGTTGTATTTTGATGAATAGAATATTTTTTCTATGGCATTCATCTTTCTAATTAAGAAAAATGGACCTTAAAAAAAAAAAAAACTTTAGAATCTGGGCTAGATTCTTACTACTTCAGTGCCCTGGGGATTTTTTTAGTTGCTGAGGCTAGGAGTTAAAGAGCACCTTAACTCTGTTTATTTCAAAAGGAATTTTACTATAACAGAGATCAGTTTGAAACAATTATAACTGTGAACTAATAAATTCCATTCTCTGGGTAAGTCTTTCAAACAAAGCTTGGATAAATAGCAAAACGATTTCTAATTAAAAATACCTGATCTTGGGGCGGTGCCTGTGGCTCAAAGGAGTAGGGCACTGGCCCCATATGCCAGAGGTGGCGGGTTCAAACCCAACTCCAGCCCAAAAACTGCAAAAAATAAAAAAATAAAATAAATAAAATACCTGATCTTGCTCATTGTAGCCCAGATGGTTTATATGATACTTTTCCATAAAGATGGCTTCTGAATTATTATTAGACTATGTAAAAATATTTTACTATTCTTCCATTTCAGCAAATATTTCCAATTACTTTTTTTAAAAAACATATTTAGGGTTGCTTATCTTTTCTTTAGAGAGAATTTTCGACCTGTTAGCATTCAGGAGGGCTTGGAACGGGAGGAGAACAGCATTCTCTTGGATTTTCAATTCACAGCTCCACTGGAGCTAGGGGAAGATAATTGCATTTGCAGTGGCACTAAAGCGGCTGTCCTTTGTTCTCCTGTTTAGAAATTACATTTCCTCCAATTATGCCTATTTTTGGCAACGATTTGCTGCCAAGCAGCAGTTCCTTTTGATATATGTTTGCTGAGACTCAGTTCCAGGCACTGTTTCACGTCTTTTCAATGCAAAAATCCAGATTTCATTTTCACAAGTTACATTGGGGGTCCACACATGTTTACCTTCTGGCATAAGCCTGCTTTGAGGGACCTGCCTATTGTTCTGGGCTATCCCAGCCTCCCCTCATCCTGCTTGTGTGTGATGGGAGTGCGGACATCCCTGCGCCTCCCAGCCCACACATTCCATGACTTCCTGTCTAGCTTTATTTGGGTACTTAGCAATTTATACTTCCTGCCTTTCCACCCAAGCTGGAGGTTGGGTTCCGAGAACAACTTCTGCTCGTCAGTAAACTATTGTCTTTTAAAAGCCAAGTCCGTTCAGAAAAGTGTCTAAGCAAATGAGATGCAATTAATGATTTAGTTTCTTCCCTCCTTACTTACATTTAGTCCCTACCAGATTGAAAGAGAGCGAGAAAGACAGAAATAAAGAAAAGAAAGAGAGTGGGCGGCACCTATGGCTCAAAGGAATAGGGCGCCAGCCCCATATGCTGGAGGCGGTGGATTCCAACCCAGCCCCTGCCCAAAACTACAAAAAAAAAAAAAAGAAGAAGAAGAAGAAAAGAGAGAGATAGAGAAGAAAAGATTAAGAAACAGAGAGAGAAAGAAAGACAAAGAAAAGAAAGAGAGAGATAGAGAAGGAAAGATTAAGAAACAGAAAGAATTATAAAGTTAATCTGGATCAGAAACTGTAATCTAAAATACAGCTCTGGGTCTCTAACTTAGAAAGTGATAAAATAACACAGTCCCTGTCTCACGTGTGGGGAATGGACATGTGAGCTTTTCCACTTACATCTGTTGATCCAATAGTATACTATGTAAGTATTAAAAATATATTCATTAATATTGGCAACATGATTTAATACTTAGAGCCCTTGGTGTCTGTTCAGAGTGAAACAGTGTCACGACCATCAGGCAGTTTTAGTCTGTCTTGCTTGATTTGCTGACACTATAGTTAACATTGACTGTCTCGCCTCCTCTTGTATTTCTGCTATAATGGTGCCACTGATCATTTGCCTAAGAATATGGTCTATAATCCCGTGATAGTTAATTTTACATATTTCTTCCTAAATGTTCGGGCTGCGGCTGCTTCGTTGGCCTGCTGTATTGTCATTCAGGGAATAACATCAGTAATCCAACTCCAACCTTCAGATAAAAGAAGAGATTAAACCCTCCTGATAGTTTTTAACACTGTAAGAAAAGAAGGAACACTTAAGTATTATCTCTAGAAAATAGATTGCTAGTTATAAGGAATTCCATAGCATTCTGTAAAACCAGTGATCATGAGTTAGAAGCAATAAAAGTGTAAGAACTGTCTGTGGTTTGCACAGGAACCGAACCCTTGCATCACCCTGTCTACCACAGAATGCAGCATTTGCCATTTGGAAGGGCAGAGGTATTTTTTAGATTAGGGTGCTCCTGCTCTCCTGCTGTGACAACTTGTTTTGCCCAGTTAACGTAAATAATGGGCCTTCCCAGCCGACTGACAGTATCTGTAAGTTGCACAGAGGAACTCTAACTCCAAAGCAGGAGATAAACTTCCCTTTATCTACCGGCAGTTTCAGAGCCAGTTGTAAATTTTCACTGGTGCTTCTGGTCTTTCTCCTCCCAGCTCTTCTTGTGTGTATTTATCTGCAAAAGGATCTTTTTTAAAAAGGCAGTACAGAAAAGGGAATTCTTCCATTGAGCGTGGACCCTTTCCCCCTTTCGGCTTTTTGGGTGTGATACAGCTTCTTCATTGCTCAGAGAGAATGGAACGCTTGCTCCAGATTGAGGGATTTGAGATTCTCTTGTTCTGCACCAACTTGGCCTTCTAGCCCCTTTGTTTTCGGGGGAATTACATAAACTCTTGAACAGCCGTGTTGAAGTGCTAATATTTGTTTTAAAATAGCATATCTTGAATTCTCCGGAGCTCTCCACGTCATGTGTGCGA